AATTGGAAACATTCAAAACCTCTTGTGTACATGATTGTTTATTTTTTCTTTTCTTTTCTTTTCTTTTCCGGATACTTACCTCGCACGCCGTGACTTCGCGAAGTAATTGAATCAGCCACAATAGCTCAAATTGAAAGGCTACAGAGTTTTGCTAGAATAAGATGGCCTCGCATAATTTTATCGAGGACTCAACTGGAAATAGTATGGCGTTCAGATTGAGTACAGATTACTAGTTTAGAGATCATCGAACAGAACAGAAGGGTCGGTGTATTTCCAAATTTTCTCCCACCCACAATCACAATCCTGCTATTGTAGCCACTGGTAATTCTCCTGTCTAAGGCACACGGCTTGAGCGGCCCAAGGATGGCCACTTGTGCAGGGCTTCTACAGAGCTCACGTAATTAGTTAACACTAGACATGACGTCGACAAACAGATCTGTGGAGACCCAGTTTACTGATCGACTCCAATGCAATTTGTGTTCCATCTCACATATGTATTGAAACTGATAGATGGTGGTAGTTTCAAAGATGCATGTTATGAGTTGGATACTTGAAAACCATTTGAATTTGTAGAACATGTGCAAGGCGGTGTCTGAGGTAGCGGCATGTGCAGTTTGGACTCGTTGAGTCTCGATCTGCTGCTTGTCTGCGGTTTCGTGCAAAATATTTGCTCTTCGGACGGGCTGTTGAAAGCCAGATTGATTTGTGATCATCAATTTTCATTGGAAAATTATGTAATATAATGGATCCAGCAGCACAAGCGACGTGCATGTGTAATATGCCCTACCAGAGCTTTTGGAGGGTTGAGAAAATTCAGAATAATGCTTTACAACTCACAACGTGAAGGCAAGAAGAATAGAAAAAATGTGCTCGACTGCAGCAGGGTCCATGCATTCATGCACTCCATGCTTCGCTTTTATGTCTGGTGAGGGTAAAGGAGCCAAAAGCTGAAAGAGACAAGAACCTCCGCAAATCAAAGTGGCTTTGAGTCTCCCTTCGAGATCAAATGGCGCACACAATACGTCTGAAGAGACACATGTTACGTGCTGGAGATCTCACAACCACCGAGTTGATGATGAACCATAAATTCAAAGCATTTGATGCATCATGTTCTTGCGTAGAATGCAGGAGAGAGTTGAACAATTTAATTCCTAATGTTTACGATTCTCAGGGAGCATTCAAATGGTGCTTAACCATGGACAACATAATAAGCCAGCCACTCCAATCGTTTGCGCTGCTGCTACGGCTGGTAATTCCTCTCCTCTGCAGTGAGCACTAAGTTTCCAGACCATTGCTTATGCCAAACAAAGCGACATACCGATGTCACAGGATAGTTCGCGCGCTTTCGGCTAACTTTGCTGTGTATTAATGTTCATCGCCATATAGCGTTTCTTCCTGAGTTTCAAACACGAAAGAGTCAGACGGAGGTTTTGTGAGTGTAGCAATGTAGATGACTGGTCCTCATGGCAGTTCAATCGGTCTTAAGGCAATCCATTGATTGGATGGTTCCTTTACATCTCCATCTACTGAAAAGCACCCACGATCACGTTTTCAAATATTCTCTTAAGTGATTTCGAACAGTAAATTAGACTGACCAAGTTTTCTTTCAAACGATATGTCCATATGAAGCGAGTTGCAATGGTGAACAGAGCTACATGAAGCAAACAAAATTCTCAAGCACAATGCTGAGGTGTTTCATTTCATACCAACAATGTTATATTCCTCTTGATTTCGCAAAAGGAGGCGACATTCGTCATCATCGAATCAACTATCAAACTCTCCACCACAACAACTAGCTGCCAATATCATTAACAGCATAAATACTGCAAGGTACAATTCACACTAATCTGATGGTCCAGAGAAAGAAAGGCTCCCGCCTGAAGCTCCGTGATCGAGTAGGCTCTGCTGACATATCACATAGTGCCTAGAATTATATATACAAATGGAGTCAACAATACAGGATCGGTAAGATCGACATTAGATCCAAACATTGCAGCTGTCCTTGCTTTGGTGCTGAAGAGGCTTCCCATGGGATTGAATTCTAGGCGCATGCAAAATCAGCTGCTGCATCAGAATTAGGGTTTGACTCCCAACGAGTTGAGAAAGAAAGTAAGAGAAAGGAGACAACGTGAGATGGACCCAAGTGGAGAATGCTACTTAAATATCATCTCTTTGAACTACTAACTTATTTTACTGTTTCTTTCAACTCGAAATCCTGGGAATTAGAGTTTATTTCAAGAATATCATTGCACAATGTGATTTCGCATTTGTAGATTGACAAATTGTTCTCTCCAAACAGAAATATAAAAGGATGTAACAAGATTACTATTTCTAAATGATATGTAGAGGGTTAGAATATATGAAGAAAGTTCTGATAGAAATGTTCATAGGTTGTGCTTCAAGGGACAACGGTCCAATTGTATACATGGTTGGTTTGAAATAAAATTTTAGATTTTAAACAATTTTATGTGGTAAAAGTAAATTGAAAATAAATAATTTGCTAGATTACAGGTGATGTGAAGTTTATGTTCTTTGCATGATTTTTTCCTTTATTTTATACTTCAAGATAATTTCAAGTTTGACATTAGAAATCAAATTTACTAATAAATTTAAAATTATACTATATGCATTAGACAAGATATTTACACTGAAAATATGACAAAAAAATCAAATCAATTTGTAATTGATCAGAATTATTGCAATCATTAACATAGTTGCAATCATATTCATTATAATAGTGGTTTATTAAATATATAATTACAACCATAACAAAGTAATTTTAACAATTTTTTTTTTTTTTTTAATTTTTAGCAACCACTATTTTTCATAAGTATTTATGGTTAAATTTATATAATAAGAAAGCTTAGTCATAATACAAAGAGATAAAGAAGCCTTCTCATTGGCCAATTAATTGAGGCCAAGAAGTCTTTTTATTTGGCCAAAAACATATATTGTCTTTTCCCAATGTAATAGTTTATGTTGCCTTTTTGCAATGTACTTCTCCAACTAAAATTAAGATTTTTTATCCCACAAATAGTGGAATCAAACCAACCAAAATAAACATTATTTATTTTAAAATTTTATTGAACTAGTTGTTTCAACTATTAAAATAAATAAATATTGTCTTTGCCAATAACACTAAAGAAAGGTAAATGGTTCCATTATTCCTTTTTTTTTTTCTTTTTTTTATTAATTGATATTTCTTGAAGAGTTGTTATTTTTTTACTTGATAAATTACAATGTTATAGCTTTTTTATGCCCAATAGCACAAGTTTTTGCTAGTATTACATAAAAAAATATTATTTAAAATATAAATTATACCAACTATGGTTATACTATTTGTTTCAACATGATGTTTTTATTATAGAACTACTCAATCAAAACTATAATTAAGACATTATTTTATATTGATATAAACTATCATATTATCTAAAATACTAATATATATATATATATATATATATATATTAATCTCTAAAATTATGCTATTAATTTTTTTTAATTTTGCTTTATACTACCAAAATTAAGTCTTTTTAAATATCATAAAAGACATTGGTCCATTATAGATGTAAACAATGTTATTACAACTTCAACCTTATCATTTCTTACTTTTATAATACTATTCAACATATGACATTTATATTTATATTTATATTAAGAATGATATTTAATAAAATTAATGAAAAATATCATTAAATATTTATTATATATTTTTTAATCATTTTCAGTTTTTTTCTCAAGCTTTATGAGCAAGCATGATTATTTATACAATTCATTTTTAGTTTTGAAAGTAGCTAAAATGATTTACAATTCAAATTTGTTGCAAACTACTTCAATGTTGAGACCTTTTACAAGGATAAGCACAATACATGCAATAAAAACCTAAAGTAATTATTCATAATAAGAGAGATCTAAGCTTTGAAGTAATAAACCAAACAAATGATTTCTTTTAGAAAATGTCATGATACTATGCTACGATCATGTAATTTGTTAGAAAGAAATTAAAAGCTGTCATACAGCAGTGCATACTTTTTTACTCGAGTCAAAATTATCAAACACGTTATCAATTTCCCACATCAACCGTTGATCCAAAGGAGTGAAAGCTACCAATAAACATTGTGAGAGGCACATAAAATGAGTCTTAATTGGCTGTTCTGAGGCAACGATATCGACAATTAGTGATAACTTAATATGAGTAAAATATACAATGAAGATACTGAAATGCGGGAAGCTGACCGAGGAACGTATTATTGACCGTATACCAGTCCATGGCGGCGCTGCGCGATTCAATAAAGGAGGCATCGGGTTAGCAAATAGCGGATCGATATGACGAGCAACTATCCGCGACGCATTCTACCCCTTCAGTTGGACCGCAAGACTGACTCCAGCTCGCGACAGCCCACAGTTCACTCTATCTCTGCAGCCACTACACCGCTGTCTGTAAAGGTCAGCACTTCACCGGCTCCAAAAATCTCACTTCCAATGTCGCTTCCAACGGCGCTTCGGTAGGTCTAACAGTATAAGTACACACCCAAACGACCTTCTCACTTGTCAAAGCATCTTTCGTGCACGATTCTATGCCTGAACGATCTGTGATCTGCTGTGAACGCGACCTGTTTTGACCACGTTACGTTTCAGGCTAGTGTGGTACTTTGGCGCTCCGTTGCGGGCGGAGGTGTTAATCAAGTCATCGACGGGGGTGTCAGAGAACTTGTGTTCCTGTGGGGTTCAGAGGTTGTAAGAGAATTGGGCCTCGCCCCTATTGTTGGTAGATATTCTTTTCGGTGGTCTTACCAACCTCGCTACCACTGTGGATCTTTGGTGAACAAATTTGGTTCAGCTGCCAGTCAAAAGGAGTCTAGTTATTCGGCCACTTATTTTCTTGTGAGGTGGACACTAGAGTTGGAATCAGGTTGCAGGGTTCGAGTTCCTACGCAGGCCAGGTTAATCTGTAGTTTTTCGGGGAGAAGACTCTTTGACGAGATCGTAGCTTTGTTAGAATGGCTGCAGCATTGTCACTGCCACCAGCCACAAGTGCGGCGACGCGGCTGGCAGCTGGAGAAAAAATTGGGAATGCAATGCAGACGCGTGAGCAAGCCAAGATGAGGACAGTGGATGAGATCCTCATTGGTCCCCGCGAACAGATCTTCAGAAGTCCTACTCAACTACCCTCTTTAGCGCACAGCAACTTGGTTTCCTTCATCCTAGACAAAGCGAGCGGCAAATTTGCCTCCAACACGGCAGTTGTGGACTGATCGACCGGCACCAGCTACACGCATGGCCAGGTCGGTTACATTCCATGAAACATTTTTTCTTGGTTGATAGTATTGTACCTCATCAGAGCTTAATATTGCCGTGCACAATGTGAGTTGCAGATGAGTGAATTGGTGAAGCGCACGGCCGCAGGTTTGGTCACATTGGGAGTGAAGCCCAAGGATGTGGTTTATTTTCTGTCTCCCAACAGTCCCGAATTTCCTGTGGTGTATTTGGCGATCGTTTATATTGGAGCTGTAGCGGCGCTTGGCAACTCCCTAAATACAGAGAACGACATTGCACTGCAATTGGTGCAGACCAAAGCAGTATTTGTAATCACGGTACCTGAGCAGTTCAGCAAGATCCAGAAATGTAACCTGCCCACCATCCTCATTGGTATGGGTCCTTCCCCAAGCTATCATTACATCCCTGAGGACCTGGATCCGTTCCAAAATTCTCCTAGATAGATGGACATGCTTATTGCTTTACCCTGCCACTTTGCAGGTGACGACGTCTTGGCGAGCCAACTGAAGACGACAACGTCGGTATCATTACTTTCCGAAGTTTGCGAGGGGGATTACATCGAAATGGCGCCACCAGAATGTCACCCAGACGACACATGCTCTCTCCTGTTCTCTTCGGGCACAACGGGCTTGACCAAGGCCATTCAGTTGACTCATCGCAATTTAATGTCATCCGTCACAGCCTACAACACACTCGAGCCCGGAGACTCCACACGCGAGGACGATGTGTGTGTGGCGATCATTCCCATGTTCCATGTCTTCGGTTTAGGGATTATCATGTTGTCCACTCTGCAGCGAGGCGCGTGTGTGGTCACCATGACCCGATACTCATTCCCATCCATGTTACAATACATCGAGAAGTACAAAATCACCGTCGCAATTGTTGTCCCACCAATTTTAGTTTACCTCGTGAAAAACCAAGAAATGCTGGCGAAATATGATCTCAGCTCGCTCAGGATTCTCATGACAGGGGCCGCGCCGCTTCGTGAAGATACTATGAAATCCATCCAAGCAATCTTCCCCAAATGCGTCACCCGTCAGGGATACGGAATGACGGAGTGTCCTCTCATTTCTTACAGCGTGGTCGCCAACGAACGCCAGTAGTGGGGATCTGTTGGAAAGATGGTTCCTGGCATCGAGATACGCATCTCTCACGTCGAAACCGCAGATCCCCTCCCTGTCATGACTACCGGAGAAGTCTGGGTTCGAGGACCCCAAATCATGAAAGGTAACTGCAAGCTGTTCTCCCCACTTGGTCGCTTCCCTGATGATTCCTCTCGTCTCAGCAGCTGCTTCGCATGTATGTGCACAGATACTCTAACACCTTGTAATTTGAATATAGTGCAGGGTACCTCAACAACGTCGAGCAAACATCAGCCACTATCGACTCCGACGGCTGGCTCCATACGGGAGACCTCGGTTACATGGACAACAACAACTACCTTTTCATCATCGATCGGCTCAAGGAGATGATAAAGTACAGAGGTCATCAGGTTTGTGATGTGCAAAAGTTTCCAATTAAAATTTTAATTCCAAACTCGGTGCGACATGATTCGTGCACGGTCTCCTTCAAGCGACTGACGAATTTCAACATAATCTGCGTTGCTATCAGGTTGCGCCGGGAGATCTCGAGGCAGTGTTGCTGAAGAATCCTCGAATTTTAGACGCATGTGTTGTTCCGTAAGTGCTCAGTCATACTTTCAGGGATAAAGGAATTGGTTCCTGAATTGAAGTTTGCAACATTTTGACTGATGAGTGATGGTTTATGAGATTCTCAGATGTCCTGACGATGACAACTGTGAGCTGCCAATGGCGTTTGTTGTGAAGCGAGAGTGCACTGATTTGACGGAACTTGAAGTTATGAACTACGTAGCACAACTGGTATGACTCTCTTCACATCATCTAAGAATTTGTTGCTAAGACAAAATCGTCACTTGGTGCGCTGATGCCAACGCTTATGCACAGGTTGCGCCATACAAGAAGGTCCGCAAGGTGGAATTCATCGACGCCATTCCCAAGTCCCCGACCGGAAAAATTCTACGCAAACAGCTAACTCTTAAGCTACGAGAGACAGGCTGTGGAGATAGATCCGGTTTGTGTTAGATCTGGCTCTAACACAAACCTGGCACTTGTCGAATGACTTCAACGTTCTCAATTTTCGTCTGTAGTTAGCGGTGGAGGCCCTTGTCTAAATCCTTTGAGCTAGAGCTACGCTATTGCACCATCTTCCGTAATTCTTTGACTAAGTCCTTATATGCCAGGTTTTACAAACTAACTGGGTGATTATTCCACAGAATTTGTAAGCCAACACTTAAGAATTTCTCAAGTGAATGAGCCAATCTTCCAAACACGATATATCACGTTTTTCCCATCTCCACAACAATCTGTGCACATGGATGTCAGAAACCAACAATCCCCCTGAAATGCAAAGCACTCCATAGACAGTCGTATTCAACAATCGTTGTTGGAGGGCGTGTTTTTTTACCGACCTAGCCGAATTTTTTTTAGAGTTTGAATACCTGCCTTCACACCCAAATCTGATGCATCCCTCTCTCTGACCATCCGGTGAGGTCTGGACTGGAAAAAGTTCCCTGCAAGAGAAACTTGACAATGCTGGTTGAAAAGATATGGACACCGGTCGTGAGCAGTTTCAGTTATCTGATGCTACAAGTCTCATCTTCATCGTCAAGCTTGAGCTCCAGATTCTGTTGCTGCCTCTGCATTAGAAGATCTGAGCTGACGAAGCTTGAATATCCTGGATATTCAACTCCTACGGCATAAGCAGTTGCGTTGCAACCACTGTTGACTTAGAAATGGTCGTCGCTGTGGGTGCGGACGTGGTTCCCAGAGGCTCTGTCAGCAGAATCTTTTACTGAGAATCAAGCAAATTACAAGCAACGTCTCAACTGCTAAGTAGTCTGTTCTACGCACATCATTAGTGGGGAGAATTCAGACAGCATCCAACCTTGGACAACCTAAATCCTCCAAGAGCCTAAACCTGCGCTGGACCTCATCTACGAAGTTAAACATAGTCAAGTCTCACCAAGTAGAGCGCACAGCCACTTACTTGTAATTTCATACTTCTAAGACTCCCTCTCGAGTAAGTAACTACTAGGAAGATTAAAGCAGAATGAGCAGTAGCTCAGTGTGTTCTTCCAAGAGAACTTGGTAGTCATAGAAGCGCTAGAAGCCAGGCAGTCAATGGTCGAATTATCCTTACTGTTCCTCGGTGCTTCTTGAACTTAACTTGAGCTAGAGGCTTAGTGAAGATGTCTGCCGAATTCTTATTTGTTGTAATGTAACTGAACTCTATTTTTCCTTTAAACACTCTTTCACAAATATAGTGATGTTTTGTCTCAATGTGTTTAGTCCTCAAACGGAATACCAGATTCTTTGCAATCTACATGGAGCCCTGATTGTCGCATTTCAAATGAATGTCCAGCTCTGTTGATGTAGGCGCTACCATTAAATCTGTATTGATTTGTGAGTCATCAAATATCAATGGAACCTTCAATTGATCTATCATGCCCAAATCCATTAATAATAGATGTACATGGACAGCTTCTATTACTCCCTTCAAAGATACTCTGTTTCTGTGATACTATCTAAGACAATCAACTGTCTTTTAGTTGACCAGGATATGGAGCCAAGGCAAGCCGGATCACATAAACTCCAAGTGATCTTCTAGCAGCATCAAGCAATCCCAAAGCCTCCAATAGAGGAAGATTTTGCTATTTTGCAAGCAAAGCTTGCAATTAAAGCTATTGCCATATTTGATGAAGGTCACTCAAAGGCAATAAACATAAATCCTTCAAATGACGTGCTATTAACTACAAAAGTAGCATTTTTATTTGTAGCTAGATATATTTAAAAACTTCAAATTTTATGTCCAAGAATTGTACAGTTATTTAAAAATAATAATATGATTGTTGTTTGTTGTATTAGTGACAATACCATTCATGCTAACACTTATGCATATTGTGTTAGATTCTAGAACTTAGCCAATTATGGTTAATAAGTGGCTTGCTCAAGAATTAGGTCTTATTCTTATGGATTTAGAATCTTATCTTTTCACTATTGTCACTTCAATAGGGGGCACGAAGCAAGCTATTGGCTATATGAGACAATCTTTGCAATTAATATTTTGAATTAGATCTACCTCACTTTATTTACACTTGTCTCTAAAGTATGCAGTGACTAGTACCACCAACTATGATATTTTAGTGGATCAACATGTCTTTTATTTATTTGGTTTTGGTTTAGATAATTGGATTGAAGAAGTATAGATTTGATTAGAATGGTCTATTGATGATGGAAGAAAAAAATTCATCCCAATTACATTTGTAGCAACTACTATAATTATGTGAGCAAAAACCTTATTTGATTGTAGTGCATTGGTATTTGACTTGCCTTGCATTAGAATTCATGGTTTATTCTCAAAAATCAAATAATCTACCATCTTTAGAAATTTATGCAAGATACTACAAGGATCCATCTCCTCCTTAAAAAAACAAGTAAAAAACGTTTTTGTTAATGTAAAGAGATTGTATCTTCATTAAATATATTGAAGATACAAAATTCTTCTTTCTTATCTACCTTTGTTCAAATTATTCATTGGCATCCACCAAAAAAGATATTATCTTTGTGAAGCTCTTTATAGGTATTGGTATAATTTTGCTAGCAATATTGGAGGTTGAGCTTACTATTAGATTATACATGGATATTAAAATTATACCTAACCAAGTAACCCAATATCATCTCTAAAGATTGTTGCTTATGTATCCTAAACAATTACAACATAGTGTTATTCTTAGTTATTTTAGCAAACTTTTTCATAATGTCACTCTCATTAGTTATGAGGATTTGATAAGATTAGGCAACATTGACTTATTAATTGCTAGATGGCCTTGTTAAGGACATTCACATATTAGAGCAAGTCAAGGATTAGGTGATTCTTGATCCAATTTAATTACAAATTTGATGTGGCTTATATATTAGTAGTTTACGCATCAAATTACACCACTTAGATATATTTTTGAAAATACACCATCATTGGGTGATATTCAAATACAAATATTGGATTCATATCAATATATTAACTAACTCATTGATCTTTCAACCTTTGTGGATGTTGCAGCTTTGGACTCCTATGCCTATTGACCTCATTTGATTAAGACCAACTTGGCATTCTCTTACATGCTTATTAAAAAACTTTCTAGAATTAAACCTTTTGGAAACTATATTGATAATATCTTAAGTGATAATCAAATTTTTTTAGTTGTTACTATGATTGATGACCTCCTCTTAACTTGATTAATAAGATAGAAGCACCTCATGGCACATTTCTTACATTTGTAATATTTCTAATATCATTTTTATTTTAAACACATAAACTTGGCATAGTTTGACATGTCAATTTACAAACCTATGAAGAATCTAATGCCAATAAAAGAGAGTATGCCATGGACTTTTTAAGTAGCACCATAGTTGCTTACTATCTCATTGAAAGACAATATTATTTTCTCCTAAATCAAGCTATGGATCTATACACTTTAATATGGATTTGTAGCATATGTCTTACTATTCAAAAGTATTTTCATAATCATATTAGTACTTTGAGATTAAAGAACAATGATCATGAGATAGTAGATCCCAAACTTACTAAGATAGAAGAATTTGAGTCATTTTTTTACTTACAAAAGCATGCAATTGATGAGCTACAAGCTCAACATGTCTTTGTAATTTTAGCAAAAGACTTTTAAAAAAAAAATCAAAAGATTCTTTTCATGGATATTTTTTGAAAGTCACTCTATATTCTACCAAAATTATTAATTCATACAAATATTGTAGTGATGAAGCCCTTCATTTGACTATAAGTGAAGATGTTGAGGATATAGGAGTTGTTTCTTCAACAAATTAGCAGTTAATGGCTGTGTTGGCATCCAGTGGTATTCTATTAGTGAAGAAAGAGATTATTGAGTTTAATGATTGGCCATTGGAGTTAGGACCACATTTTACTAATGCCAAAGTACAAAAGATATAATCTTTTATCCACTTATATGGCAATTATTTTGCCGTTAGACTTAAAGATCTTGAAGGTTATAGAGAAAAACCTATTCACATCCAATTGGAAGATGAGAACCCAATCTTTTGATAACCTTACAAGCTTAGTAACTTATAAAAAGATAGTATCTACATTCGTTACTAAGAATTATTGGTTATAGACTTGATTGAGCTTTTCAATAGTGAATATACTTGTGTCATAGTCATGCCTTCAAAAAAAAATGTTTTTGGCAATTGGACAAAGAAGCAAATGTATAGAGTCTATTATCTACTTAATTATAAGACTATTTCTAATTAATATCTAATATCAATACCAAAAGAATTTTTTAATATAATAGGATTCTTTCAAGTATTTAATACTTTAGATTTAAGATCTGGTTATCACTAATTACTATTACTTCTTGAAGATTGGATGAAGATAGCATTTTGGAGAGTTGATCAAAATAACAAAGATCAATTTTATCACTACAAGTTCCTTCTATTTAGTCTTTAAATTTCACCACTTGAGTTTAAACAGATAATGGACTAAGTTTTATTCAACTTGTCATATGTTAGATGTTAAATTTATGATGTTATTATTAATAATAATACTTCATAAGATCATATGAGATATTTACAAGTAATGTTTGAATGATTATAATAATAAAGATTATATTTACATTATGAAAAGTATAAATTCTTCTATGAACAGTTATCACACTTGGATCACATGATTACCTTAAGAAGTCTTGGCATACAATAAGCAAAAATAGATGCCTTGCAAAAAGTCCCAATATAAATCATCAAATAAATTTATTAATTATCTTATGATAAAAAATATATTTTAAGTATTTAAAACCACAATATAGAGTGAGTAGTACAAAAATCCTTAGAAAAATAGAAATTAGAATGTTAGTTGTAGAAATAGAGTCTTAATAAGTCTCAGAGGCACTCATCTAAGTTGATTTAGTATTTTTTACTTATTATTGAATATTAAGGATTATTTATTAAAATAAATATTTATATTAACCTTATATTTATATATATTAATCTTTAAAAAAACTATAAATATTATTTAATAATTAAAAGAAGAATAAAAAAGAACCTCATGTATTTTTAATTAATTATATAAAAATTAGGATTTATAATAGATTTAAATTGATTTTATTACTATAAAAAATCACCAAGATAAAAAAATATAGCTTTAAATTAATAAAATTATTATAAAAATATTATAAAAAAATTTAGAATTTATTTAGAATTTATTTAGAATTTTCTATGAATTTTTAGAATAATTTGAAAGACTTTGATAAAAATGAGTTTTATCACTTCGAGAGC